CGGTGGCAATGGAGATGAAGAGAACTGGGCTGAGTCAAAAGCTACCTGGCCTCTTGGAATTCCTAGAAAAGGAACAGGGGTAGATGGGGGCGGAGACAAACTGTCAAGGCTTGTAGTCCTCCACCTTCATTTCAACCACAGAAGCCACTAACAACTACCTGACAGCCAGAGGGGCGGAGACCATAAGGAAGCCTGAGAAAGAGTAATCCCAAGAGGTACGGAGAAGACAGGACAGCAGGGGAGCAGCGTAAATGGTGCCAAGAAATCAAATAAGCTGAGAACTAAAAAGCTTCTACTGAATTTAGCAACCAGGATGCCCTATGTGGCCTTTTAGGGTGGTGGTGTGAGACAACGTTGGACTGAGAAGCAGACACATCGTGTGTACCTGAAGCAAAGTGCAAGGACAACTAAAAGCCACGTCTTTATGAAACTGAAATCAACAGTGCTAGCAGAGACCATTTAGAACATAAAAGAATAATGTATCACAAACCATCACAAATCACCAAAACACAAAGGCAAGTTAACAAACTGAAAATTTAGTCTGTGAAAAATATGCTGAAAAGTGTAGAGAATGTATATTTCAGGTGCTTTCATTCCCACAGGCCTTACCATGTAGATGAAATATAAAGGTTTAAGTCTGTTTGAATACAGCAATAATTAAAATTATGCTTTTAAACAGTTAAACTTTTACCTGTTTTTTTCTTCCTCTTGTAAAGGTGGCAAAACATAGATGTCATCTTCTCTTTGCACTTGAGTAAGGCTGGGTAGCGCTTCATCTCTAAAACATACACATGCATTTAAACAGATTCTATGGAAGAGTATTTTGAGTTAATCACACAACCCGTGAATCACATCAACCCTGCTCAGGAGGTGAAGAAGGAGAAAAACATACCAGCAGTGAACTTCTCCCCTTACTGACCCGGCTCTGAGCTAGGTCGCTGCTTTGGAAAATAAGTACAACAGAGGGGGAAGAAAAGGAAACTTGCTACAGCTTTTCAGAGTCTGGACCACAGCCTTAACTATACTCACGAAGAACAGTATTATAAAAGTACAAAGCAGATGCAATGCAACACTTCATCTTTTCATTCTCGTTACCAAAGTTAATTTCCAGAGAACGGAGAATTTTCACACCTTCAAGGTACTAGGTCAAATGTCATCCTACTATTTCCTGCTCATTTCATCCTCTACTTTCAGTTGAGAGCTAAAATTAGGGAAAGGGAACCATAGGAACCCAACACGAAAAAAAATTGTTTAAGATCAATGTAATATTTGTCTTGCCTTTTGCTTTTTAAGGCAGTTTTAATAGCCTGTCTTTTCAAAAATGTTTTCAAGAGCTTCTCTGTAGTTTTCTGGGAGTCACTGTTGGCCAAATCCTTTCTCTGCCTTCTCTTAGCCTGTGAAAAGAAAGGACATAAGATTTGACTTGCAGGTATTAGTGTATTAAAAACATTTCTGTGATATTTTTTCCACAGAATTTGGCTTGTCTGAGTTTTCGGACTATGGCTGTTTTAGTATTTTCTCCTAATTGCTGTGTCAGAGATGTAACCATCTTCAAGGTTTCAGCTCTGTAAAGGAAACCCACAGTTTCCATCTAACTATTACAGGAACTGGCTATTATACAACATATTTGGGAAATTATTAATTTACTTTCCGTTGCCTTTAAATGTCATTTAATGTTTCAAAGATACCTAAAGCTTAATCAGATACAATCAAGTAAATGCTGCTCCAAAGGAATTTAAGTCTGCTTGAATACAGCAATAATTAAAAGTATGCTTTTAAACAGTTAAACAGTTAAACATTTACCTGTTTTTTTATTCTTAAAATGTTACTGTTAATGCCAAAGACAATTTCTGAAGCTGAAGTTGATTGTGTTTTATGAAAACACATTCCTGTTTTTGCTATTAGCTGTTGTCGAGTTGATGCCCAACTCATAAATCTGCCCCCCAATATTCAAGATTGCATCATAAGAAATCCTAAAGAATATAGAAATATCTTATAAGAAATGTCCCAGCAGGGAAAAACTCGAATAGTCTCTATGCTTATGTCTGAATATAAGGCAGAAATAATTAAGACATTCTCCTTTCCTCTCTAATCCTGCCAAAAAGTACCTGATACAGAGTATGCCGTGGATAATCAAAAACTACAACATTCAAGTCTAGACACTTTTAGTAAGGGAACAAATTTCCCAAAGATTTATAAATTCTTACCTTTATCTATATCCTCACTTAAGTAGATAATCTCTGTCTGGTATGATTATAAAGTGATGAGCTAGCACCTTCCATGTATAAAATCATATATCCAAATGGATGTTGTCATTTGGAGGGTAACAATTATTCCAAAGTTAACAACGTTGTTCAAACATTTTCTAAAACTACCTTCAGGACAACGAAGACATTCATTCTTGCTCTTTCATATCATATCACGTCTTTCCTTGATAATCCACTATAGTCACCACTTGGCACTACATAACACTGCTTGCTCCTAAAACCCCAATTTGCCTTTCAAAGAGGATTTGCTATCACTGAGACTACCTGGTCTCAGATTCAGGGAAGAATTTCCCAAAGAGGTATTCCATAATGCTCTGAACAATGGCAGCATGACCGGAATAAATGTAGAATATCTAATACTATACCCTAAAAGGAAAATTCTCATTTGTTAGAATTTCAGTAATTTAAAAGTTAACATTTCTCATTTTACTCACGATATGCTTCATAATTAAACTTTTTTTCAAAAAAAAAATTGTGTATTTGTTCAAAATAAAAATGCAGCTGAAATAAAATTGCCTGAGTGTCAAAATCAGTCTCAGTTCCTAAAATTCTAAAGAAAAAATAAAAGTTTTCTGTTAACTTTTGTTTCTTTCTGAGAATGTAGTAAGATAACTGCATATCCATGTTCACTGCAGCATTGTTCACAATAGCAAAGAGATGGAAACAACCTAGATGCCTGTGGGGATATGTGCCATTAAAATATGGATGTATAAAGGCCTCTATGCTGCACAACATATTGAGACCTGTCCCCAACATG